TGGTATTTTTATACTCGGTGTGTGAAAATCCTGCACTGAAGCAATCCGACCGTGAGTAGCACGAGAACAAAAACTTGTGCAGAAGTTGACACTTGATGATTGTTAGGGAACTCAGCATCCTGATGAGAACGAAAACATCCAGTGCAGAGTTCACTTTCGGGTGGGTTCTCATTAACACGTTCATCAGCTGCAAAAGCTGCATTGGTACAGCAAGCTCACACAGTTTTAGCAGCTTTCCAGCATCCAACTCAGAGTGGAAGTCATGTGAAGGCAACTGGGTGCCCCATAGATCCAATACAGGCAAACCCTCTTACCTTGGAATCATGGACAGTGTGTGGGCACAACAGTGCTGGACCATCTGATGGGTCGGCCCCCTGTGTGGGCAACAGAGTGGTGGGAGGAGATGAGGGAAAGGCCAGCATTTAGCCAAGCAAAGAGGCTTAGGGGCAGAAAGGTGAGGAGCCTCCGCCAGAGGGCAAGGCACAGAGGCAGACAGGGATCTTCATCATTGCTGGTGATGGAGGGCTGGAAAAGTAAGTGCAGAATGATGACTGGTCCTTGACAACACACAGATGTGATCCAGAAAGACCCTGACGTTGACAGTGGGGTTTGTCTCCTTTCAGACTACCATGGGAGCTCAAGCTCGTCTCCATCACACCGTACTGCTCCTTCTGAGCCAGAATACAAAGGCACAGCATGCACAGTGCCACATTCCAGACCCTGGGAGGAGGAGGAGGAGGAGGTCAGTGCTCCAGATGGCTCCAGAATAGACCAGATCATGGTAAGCAGCACATGGACAGGGCTGATTGAGGAACTGAAGCTAATCCCCCAGCCCATGTGCCCACCTGTGCTATGGGGGACACTGAGGCAGCTGCAGTCCTGCTCTGAGGGCTTCATGCACCAGCTGCAAACTGCTCTGAGGTGATGCAGTAACGCAGCCCATGGAAAAGGCAGGGGCTGAGTTCCAGGTATCCACGTGAGAAAGATCAGAAGTGAAGATACTCAGCAAGTGCTTCTGATGTCACTCGGACACTGACAGCGCTTCCCTGCAGCTCGGTTTGTCACGGCTGTTATGGAGAGATGGTTGGTCAGCAGATCACCTAGAAACATGACAGGAACAGCAGAAGCAACCTCGAAAACTCTCCAGATAAGAAAGACCCACACTGCCATTGAGACCACACGTTCCTCCTTAGAGTTGTAAGGTTTGGGAAAGAAAACTGGAAGGCAGAGCTGTTATCAAACCAGAAATTGTTTCCTTGTATGGAGCATCCTGCTGGCATCTCCAATGGATCACCAACAAATGCAGTGCAAAGTAAGCCCTCCACAAAGACATGAACTTCTCCTACTTTTGAAACAGGTTTGAGGGCAACGGGAAAAGCTACTTTTATTAAATGAAAGGTGAAAAAAATAACCCAGAAGTTTAAAGCAGAAAGATTGCTGGTATGTGACACCTTAACCCCAACCGAGCACCAGCTCCTGAGAAAGGAAGCATTTCAGGGAGCCCTTGAGACACCTGGAAACCAGGGAGGAAAAGGAAAGCAAGCCCAAGCTCTGGTACAAAACCAGCAGGTAGTTCCAAGGACGTGGAGCAGACAGACAACCCCTTCTCTTGGCTCATCTCTGTCTGTGCAATTCGGGCATCACAGTATGGATGGGAGGTGATCGTCCCTCTCTACTCGGCTCTTGTGAGGCCCCATCTGGAGTCCTGTGTCCAGGTGTGGAGCCCTCAGTACAAGAAAGACATTGAGATTTTGGAAAGGGTCCAGAGGAGGGCGACTGAGATGAGCAGGGGGCTGGAGCACCTCCCCTATGAGGACAGGCTGAGGGAGTTGGGCTTGTTCAGCCTGGAGAAGAGAAGCTGCGGGGTGACCTCAGTGCAGCCTATCAATACCTGAAGGGAACCTACAGCCAGGAGGGGAGTAAACTCTTCAAAAGGGCTGACAACAGCAGGACTAGGGGAAATGGATCCAAGTTGAAGGAGGGAAGATTGAGGTTGGATGTTAGGGGGAAGTTCTTTACAAGGAGAGCGGTTAGGCCCTGGAACGGGCTGCCCAGGGAGGTTGTGGATGCCCCGTCCTTGGATGTGTTCAAGGCCAGGTTGGACGGGGTCCTGGGCAACCTGATCTGAATGTGGATGTTTGGTGGCCCTGCTAGGCAGGGGGGTTGGAACTACATGATCCTTGAGGTCCCTTCCAACCCGGGTGATTCTGTGATTCTGTGATTCTGTGGATGCATGGACAGCTGGATAGGGAAAAAAATTGTTGGGTGGCTCACATCAGAGTGGTCACGAAGGGGTCATTCACAGCCACACCAACAGTGCATTGCTTTGTCCAGCTCACATCCTGTAGGGTCTGAACCCAACAGGGGAGACACCACTGAGCTCCAATCCCTCCTGCAGGCTGGGTGCCCCCCAGCTCAGCCTGTCCTGGGCTCATCCATGCCCACGGCACATCCAGGGATGGGGCAGCCAGGTGCACACCCCAAAGTCCTTGTTGGCAGAGCTGCTCTCAAGGAGTTCTTCCACTCTGCGCTCGTAGCTGGGACTGCCCCAACACAACACCCGTGCTTTGCCCTGTGGCAATCCTCATCAGGCTCTCATGGGACCACTTTCTGAGCCTGTCCAGGTCCCTCTGGATGGAGCCTTTCCAGCAGCCACTTCGCCGAGGGTACATCCAACCTCACTGTCTGCCTTGCTGATAAGGACGTTGGAGATCACCACTCCCAGGGATGGAGGTATCAGCTCCAGCCCAGGACAACAGCAAGTTGCAGGGTGCCAGGAGGTGATGCTCAGCCCTCACCCGCAGCCTCCACACCCCCCTCCGAAGCCCACAGCTGCCACACAGATTGGGCAGTGCTCCCTGCTCTCCTGCCCCACCACCCCAGCATGGAGGATGCCCATCGGCCTCACGGAAGATAAATGGAGAGATTACACCTTCCAAATGCTCTAAATTACTCGGTGCTATCTCAAGTCATCTCAGGCCGCTGACACCGAGCTATCTGATTAATGGCAACAAGGAAATTAACGTGAGGTATGTGAAGCAAATGGACTAAGCAGCTCTGCAGAAGCAGAGGTCTTTATGTGAGCTCCCAGCAGCCACACAGCTGCTCTGACCAGCACACCCTGCCTCACGCTGGCTTGGTTTCCTGCGCCGTGCTGAAATTCAGCCAGGGAGAGGTAGCACCCCATTGCTATGGCTACACAAAGACGATGCATGAGAAAGTGCCAGACTTTGCAGCGGGCAGCGACTTAACAAGATGCTGCAATCTTGAGCAAGCAATGTAAGCAGAGGCAGAGAGCTTCTCTTTGAAAGCTGGGAGCTGATGGGAGCGCGGTATCAAATTCGGGTTCGGATCAGGTTATACTTCTCTCAGTAAACAAACGGATTGGGTTACCAAGCACAGCTTTCATTCTGTGGAAGACAAACTTGCAATTAGTCACACTACTTCAAAAAGAAAGGCAAACGCTGCTTCTCCCTCATTAGGGCTCTCAGGGCCCTGCAGGACGTGCGCAAATCGGAGCTGCAGCCATTTGCTCTCTCCACCCACCACCTCCGTATCTTGCAAATGCCCAAAGCGAAAAGGTTGGAATCAAGAGGTGGAGAAAGGGCAAAAGTTCAACTCCTTCAACAAGGAGGAAACGGCTTCCTGGAATAAGTCCTTCCCTGAAAATAAATATTTTCACATGAAGTAGATGAGCGATCAGTTCCCAGAAGCAAAGCTCCTCGAAGAGCTGCAGCCCCACTGCCTCCATCTGCACGAGCCCAGGCTGCATGCAGCACTCCATTCACCTTCCAGGAGCTTTCTGCTCCCAGCATTCAAACCAACACGTAGTAGAACGTAAGCAACACGGCCTCAGTCTTCATACAGAAATTCCTCCTAAGAATTTAAGCCTTCCTGTATTTGGACCCCCAGCCCTGGACGCAGTGCTGCAGATGGGGCCTCACGAGGGCAGAGCAGAGGGGGACAATCACCTCCCTGTCCCTGCTGCCACCCCTCTGCTGATGGAGCCCAGGATCCCATTTGCTTTCTGAGCTGTAATCACACACTGCTGGCTCATGGTCTGTTTTTCACCCCCCAGGACCCCCAGGTCCTGCTCTGCAGGGCTGCTCTCAAGAACTGATCCTAATGTGTCCAACAGCTGTGTGTAATTTCTACACATGACTGTGGAAAGTGCACAATGAAGTTGTGTGTTTTTGTTTCAGGACTGCTTGTTGAGTTTGTATTAAAACACACTTCATTCAAGACAGACAGGGAGCTGTTGGAGAGGGTGCAGAGCAGCCACAAAGATGAGCAGGGGGCTGCAGCACCGCCCTGCAAAGACAGGCTGAGGGAGCTGGGCTGTTCAGCATGGAGAAGAGAAGCTGGGGGTGAGCTGAGTGCAGCTGCAGGAGCTGAAGGGAGCCTGCAGACAGGAGGGGAGTCAACTCCTGGCAAGGGGAGATGGCAGCAGGACGAGGGGAAACGGCTGGAAGCTGAGGGAGGGCAGCTGGAGGTTGGATGTCAGGGGGGAAGCTTTTACTATGAGAGTGGTGAGGGGCTGGAACAGGCCTTCTAACTTCTGTTCTCAGTTTATTCACAGCCAGTTTATATGCAGCAAAACTGTCCTTTGTTCCTGAGGATTTTGCTCCCTCTCTAACACTGCAACACTTCCACAGACAGCAGTAACTCCTCCTTTCCACCTCCGTTACGCACGGGGTACACAAGCAAAGCTCTTTCAAATCTCCCACCACAACAGCAGCCTCACAGCCCTTCCCACAGACAACACTTTGCTCACCAAGCAGGCCATGGCCAGAACAGGCATCCTGAATGCACACATTTGTTCTGCAAGCTTCAGCTCACACACAGGCTCATCCCAGAGGCCACCCCAGCACTTAACCTGGGGCCCCACAGGGCTCTGTGTGAGGGTGGTACGGTCAGGTTGTGGTTGGACTTGATGCTCTTTAAGGTCTTTTCCAACCTGAGCAATTCTATGGCTGTACAGCTGGCCCTTGCTGCCTCACCTGGAAGGCTGTCTGGCTGTTGTAGTTGCGGATCTCTTTGCTTGCACCACGGAAGAGGAGAACCCGAGCGCAGCTCTCCTGGAAAGGAGGAAAGGAGACATCGATCAGCATTGTAAGACAACAAAAGGGGACAACAAAGAGGCAAACCACCTTGTTCCATCGAGCTCGGAAAGCCTCCTTTGGTGAGAGCAAGGGATGCATAAGGATGCTGAGCCCCCAGGAATTGGTCACCCCCAGCACTGAGCTGACTGAGCCCCTCTCTGCGTGCCAACTACAGCAGTAATGCCCAGAATCCAGCCCAGGAACACAGCTGTGAGGCACAGTGACCACCACACGTTCCCAGGTACTGCTACTTCCTACAGCTTTTTCTTGCTTTTGTTTTCCATGCTCTGTGCTTCCATGCTGTTAATTCCCATCTATGGGCCCCCCAGGGGGCTGGCAGCCATGTAGGAGAGTCCCAAGCAAGCAGAGCACATCCATCCCCTAAAAAAGCCACAAATCAATTTCCATACGCCATCCCACATTGTTAATCACAACAGCATTCAATTCTTAAAACTGGACACCTCAGAAACATAAATCCCTTTACAGTGAAACCCATGCACACAACCTTTAGAAAATCAAACCTCTATCAAACCTCTAGGAAGGAACAAATCCCACAGGAGAAGCACTTGGATACTGACCTCTACATCTGGGAAAGAGGCCAGTGGGTGTCAGGAAAAGCTTCCACAACCCCCCCCTGATTTCTCTAGAATTGAGGTCAGTGGCCACACAGAAAACAAAACAGAAATGATGCCCTGCATCACAGGAGAAATCTTCTTTAAAATTCAGATTGGTAATAAGATGTTCTGTGCTTTTGTGCCAGCTGCAGGTCCTGCCCCAAAAGCCCCACGTGAGGCAGGTGCTCTCCTCAATGTGAAATGAAGGCACCCAAATGAGTGCCCTCCAGGCAGGCAAACTGCCCCCTCCCCACCAGCAATGGGGGTTTGCTGCATGTGCTGTGAAGAAGGAATAGGAACCACAGGAACAACTATGGAGCAGCTCGGGTGGTAAATGAGCAAAAACACCTTGGAATGAACCACGGATCTTGAGAAATCCAAAATCAGACCGGTGCTACCAGCAGCACCTCGCCCTGGGCAGAAGGTGGGAGAACCCAGAAGGACTTTCTTAGATCTTGGGGCTGCAGCAGCCCTTAGAGGTGCCTCGGTCCAACACTGTGCCCTCAGGGAGCTTCCTTGCCTGTGCTTTCTGTGTCCTCGTGCCCCAAATCACACCGAGTACCTGGTTGTAGAGAGCACAGATGTGAAGAGCGGTGTTTCCTGAGGCGTTCTGCGCAGTCATGTCAGCGCCGTAGAAGAGAAGATGCTCCAGGTGCTGAACGTGGCCGTAGCGACAAGCCTGCAGAAGGGGGGAAAAGCAACTGAGAAACAGAACGAGGGGGCAGCAGGAAAACCTCGTAGAATCCTTCCCCCTCTTCTAGATTCAGGTTGGATTTTAGAATCATAGAATGGCCTGGGTTGCAGAGACCCACAGTGCTCATCAGTTCCAATCCCCTGCTGTGTGCAGGTCGCCAAGCAGCAGCCCAGGCTGCCCAGAGCCACATCCAGCCTGGCCTCCAATGCCTGCAGGGATGGGGCATCCAAAAAATTTCTACTCCAAAAGAGAGGCCAGGTGCTGGAATGGGCTGCACAGGGAGGTGGTGGAGCCGCTGCCCGTGGAAGTGTTCAAGAAATGTTCAGATGTTGTGCTGAAGGATGTGGTATAGTGGGAAATACTGGTGTGTGGACTGGATGATCTTGGAGGTCTTTTCCAGACTTGGTGGTTCTGTGGTTCTATGATTCCTCTGCCACATCCACTCATTTATGTGCCAAACAGGGACAGGTAGAACTCTGGTTTTGTACCCAAGGCTCCTCAGGTGTCGACCCAAGATCCCAAAGTGCTGCCCTGTGGCAGCTGAGGCAGCCCAACTGCTTGGCCTGCAGTGGGACAGAGCTGAACCCCACCTGCAAACCCCCGAGCAGAAACGCAGCCCCTGCTGGCCATGCAGCCCCCAGCACCCACCAGCACCCCGTGTCCTGCAGCACCTGAGGGCCGGGCCCAGCAGAGCTCACCCATATCCACCTTACCTGGTGGATCTCCTGCCAGCCGTTCTCATCCACGCAGCCCAGCCGAGCGTAGTCGTGCAGCAGCAGCTCACAGCAGTAGGGATCCCCACCCACCATGGCACTGTGGTACAGTGGTGTCAGCCCCCGGCTGTCCTTGTAGTCTGGGGAGGCCCCCAGATCCAGCAGTGTCTGCAGGAGAATCATAGAACCGTTAATTTTGCAAAAGACCAATCAGCTCCAACCCCAATCCATCCACACTATGCCCACTGTCCACATCCCACCGTCCCTTGAACACCTCCAGGGATGGAGATGCACCCATCTCACTCACAGCTCCATGCATGGGGATAACCAACCCACGAGGGACCGGTGCTGCTGCCACGGCACGGTGCTGCTCAGCCCTCTCCCCCCCAGGCTCAAGGCTGGCACATCTTTGTCACACACTGTGCTCCATGGCAGCAGCATGGGAGAGATGCTGTGGGCGTACAGCTATGGAGCAGGCAGCGACGTGAGGTCTGGGTGATAGAAGGAGCCAGCACTGAGATCTTGAGAATTGGGAAATACCAACTCTGGGATGTGGGACTCATCACCACTGGGATGTGGGATCACCAGCACTGGGATTTGGACTCACCAGCACTGGGATTTGGACTCACCAGCACTGGAATTCAGGCTCTCCAGCACTGGGATGTGGACTCACCAGCACTGGGATGTGGACTCACCAGCACTGGGATTTGGGCTCACCAGCACTGGGATTTGGGCTCACCAGCACTGGGATTTGGGCTCTCCAGCACTGGGATGTGGACTCACCAGCACTGGGATTCGGACTCACCAGCACTGGGATTTGGGCTCACCAGCACTGGGATTTGGACTCACCAGCACTGGGATGTGGGCTCTCCAGCACTGGGATTTGGACTCACCAGCACTGGGATTTGGGCTCTCCAGCACTGGGATTTGGGCTCACCAGCACTGGGATTTGGGCTCTCCA